CCATCAAAGGGCGGATGGGATGCTACTGTATGTCAGAATGCTAGCTGAAGCTGGTCTCAAAATAACAACGTATTTAAAGGATTTAAAAATATTTAATACATTTCTAGAAGAAATAGAGCCGCACTATAAGATCTTTGTTTTATTATGAGAATAAAGTTGCAATATGACAAGAAAAAAGTCATGTGAGAATGAAGTTATAATATTACAAGATTAAAGTTGTAATATTATGAGATTAAAGTCATCATATTACATGAACTCCTACACAAAAAAACAGTTTAACTGTTAAAATAAATATTCAACCTTTTAACACATCAGCATCATATTATCAGCAGCAGGATGTTTGCACGGTCGTTTCAACAAATATATGATAAACTCAAGCAGTACTGCAGTAAATAAACAGATTTAGTTGTTGTGTATTGATGGAAACATATTAATWGTGACCCAAACGTCACCGGAGACTCCGTCACAAACAGGGTGACACGTGTGGCTGTCCACAGCAGGCGTTAGGAAAAYGAGGAGGAAAAATCAAGAACGAAAAATGGAACTTATGTAAGCTCATGATTTTATTTTCATGATTTAAAAAAATCTTGTTGTGTGGCCCTAATACCTTGTCATAAAGAAAAATACTCAGGTAAATAAGATGACATTTCTTTTAAAAAGTTTAAAAGTTAYAAAAACCAAAGCCACAGCACTCATCTCCTGAACGAGCTGAGTGGCTAAAATAGCACAAAGTTGCAGCCATCGTTCAGAAAAATAAAAACCAGGAAAACGTGTTAATGCTGACTCAGCACTAACGCAACAAATCCAGCAGATTTTAAATCATTCAGCTTTTTGTTTCTTGTCGTTTTCTGTTTTGTGAGCTGTGTAGGTTTGAATCTTGTATGTTTTACTTGGATTCAGTTTGATGGACATTTGTTTTGTTTTGTTTTTCCTGATACATGTCAACGCTTTGTTTCAAAGACGGGACGTTCTGAATATTCTCTGTTCAGGTTCAGGTTGGGAAATGAAAACGTGTTGCCTTTTGCTCCTTGAAACGAGACAATAAAKAGTCCTAAAACAACAACAGATGTCTCTAGAAAGGACCCAACACACCAGATATCATTTAATTTAGAGTGGTTTGATTGCTCAAGTAGGTTTGTAGCGGATCCACGGGCAGGTCATTCATTTCTCAGTTAATCATCCAGACTTGTTCATTCCTCCCAGGAGCAAACCTGGCTCTCCCAAAGGCTCCTCACCTATTTGTGAAACTCATTTGATTTATTTAGAGATGATTTCCCAGTTGGAAATCTTGGTGCTCAGCTGAAGATGTTAACTTCCCACTATTTCTGGTGGGAACGTACAGCTCCGACCCACTTTCCTCGTTTTGTCATTAGGAGGTGAGGCGTCAGCCGAAGGGCGGCGGCGGCGGCTCGCAGGCAGATGGGCGGAGCAGCCAGCAGAACATAAATACAAGTGCTGCGACTGAAGCTTGAGGTCGTGCGGACTCCGACGCAGCAGATGTAGGAGCAGTTGGCAGCAGAGCGCAGGGCGGGCCAGCGGGCTGCAGACGTGTGCAGGTGTTGTGCAGCTAACCTGTCACAACTGTTGCAGCAGCAGCTCCTCTCACTGCAGCTTTACAAACCTGCAACCTTACAGTTAGGAAGGATGTAGGACCGGGCACACAAAATGTTATTTACTGTGCAGAATGGAGTTTCACTTGTTTATCACTGACCCTTTTGAACAATAGATGCAATCTGAATGCTAACATGCTAAAGGTATAAACAATGATGTGTTAGCACTCAGGGGACAGGGTTGGGCAATATGGCTGAAAAATTAGGGTATAAGCATTTCGTATCTGTCAATATCAATAATTATTGGTTAGTTTCAGACAACATCGATCTGACTTGTTCCTGGTAAAGTAAAGGTTTAATAATAAAATAAAATAATAAGCTAGAACTTAATTTTAAAAGCTAAAAGTAGCAAAATGTTTGAAAGTCAAAAGTAGCAAAATGCTAGCAGAAAATGGCCAAATGCTTGCAAGAAGTAAACTTACCAAAAGCTAAAAACAACAATGGGTGCGTGAGAAGCTAAATATTGCATATTGAATATTAGAGACACACTATAAGAGAGTGTTTATATATACAGCATATATA